GTGTGTGTGTGTGTGTGTGTGTGTGTGTGCGTGCGTGCGTGCGTGCGTGCGCGCGCATGCGCGCGCGTGCGTGTGCGCACGTGCGTGCGTGCGCGCGCGTGTATGTATGTGCATGAGAGTGTGCATACGTGCGCGTGCGCAAGCATCGGGCACTCGGCGAGATCTGGCAGCAGGGGCCAAGGGTGGCATCTTCTCCAAGACGTGTGCGTTGAGAACAGCCGCATGTCCAACACCGGAAAGGCCGCAAGCGCGAGCGCCGGCGACCGCCCCGCCTCGGCCCGCCCATGCCGCCCCGGCATCTGTGTTTGCGGCTCGCCTGCAGCAGGATCTCCTCTAGCCGCCTCATGACGTCACGAAACGCGGGCCGCCTGGCCGCCTGGTGGTCCCAGCAGTCCTGGAGCAATGGAGGTGTTGTGAATATGAGGAGATGTCGAAACGGCGAGGGGCGAGCTTTGGGTGCTGCGCGGCAAGCTCGCCGCGGCACAGGGCAGGCGTATGTGTTGGTTAGGGATTGCTCGCTCCCCAAGTTAAGATGGCAGGTGACTGCGGGGCGCACGCGGCCGCTGATGTAGGGGGCGTCGCCGTCTGCCGAGCCGGCGCCGCTCCCCCCATGGAGAGGTTTGGCCCTTGGCTGCTGGCGAAACGCGACGGCATCCTCATGTTGACGTCTTGAAGTCGACAGTGAGTGATGAGCTGATGCCCCATGCACTCGATGACAGGGTTGGGCCTGCGGCATTGCTCATACTCCGTGGTACCCGAGCGGCGCGCCCCGTGGCAGAGCCGGGGCTCTGCCGCCCCTGCCCCCTATAGATAGATAGATAATACCCCCTTTAGATAGATAGCCCCCTCACCTCCATGAGGGCCCTGTAGAGCTCCAGCGCCCGCCCCCCCGGCGCCCCCGGCAGGTCAGCATCCGGCGGCAGCGTCGGCCGCATCGCCAGCGGCTCCGCGGGGCCGGCGGGGCCGGCGCTGCTGCTGAGGGGCATGCCGTTGAGCAGCAGGCGGGTGCTGCAGGACACCTCGTGGAAGGGGATGCGCCACGTCAGCATCTGAAGATAGGGAGTTCGCACGGTGTGTGTGCGGGGGCGAGGGGGTGGCGCGGCCATTGAGCAAAGGCGGGGCTGGGGCGAGGGCGTCTGCATTGCACGTCATTGCTGAGTAGACAGCTGGCTCGCCTGAGTTGCGCGACATGGCATATAGGAGAGTAAGACACCACACCCTCGCGTGCACTTCCCCCCCTCCGCAGTGCATGCTGCAGACCCCCAGATCTCTCATCGCTCAGACCGCTCGGTGGTCACACGTCACCACGCGTCACCCAGAGTGGACCTCAGTCATAATCGGTCATCCTCGAGTCACTAACCTCGTACATGACCATGGCGAAGCTGTAAACATCACTGGCCTTGCCCAACTCGAGGGTCTGCAGGACCTCGGGCGCCACCCAGCGCGGGTTGGTGCAGCTCGCCACCTTGATCTGCGCGCATGACGTCAATCACGCCCCCGGGAAAGACTCTTTGGATGCGGAAAGACGATGCTGGGTGCCGGCCATGCGGCCCGGCAAGACCGAGGCAGCCCGTGCCAGCGGCATTTCCCGCAGCCGCTGGGCGAGACGCCGCCCCCGCTGCTTAGCGTGTCCTGGTCTGCGCGGCCGCCAGAAACTGGCCCAATGCGCACTCCGGCCGACCGTCTAGGTGGGCCGCGCGGCCGTTCGAGAGTAGCATCATGCCTTCACCCAAGTCCACGCGCACGGCCAACAGCCATGGGCCGTACTGCGATAGTGGCGTGAGGGTGGCGTGAGGCGGAAGGGTAGCAACCGCAGGCGGGCCGGCCGCGGGGCCCACCTTCTGCACCTCTGGCGGCAGCAGCTGGCAGAAGCCAAAGTCGCCGATCTTGAGGCGCCCGTCGCTAGCCACAAAGAGGTTCGGCGACCGCAGGTCCCCGTGGACGAACCCGCGGGAGTGGAGGTAACTGCCCGGGGGTGGTTTCGGGTGGGTGATTGTTTGAATAGGGATGGTTGGGGCTAGAAAGGCCGGCGGCTGCAGGCGGCCCGCTTCGAGACCGTTAGCAGCTGCGGGCGCTGTTACAAGGTAGGCATGAGTGGTCTTTGAAACACAGCAGGAGGAGGAGGCTGCAGGGGTCCTTGCCGCGGCGCTGCAGCCTGCATGCTTGTGCACAGGCGCATACGGCCCGCACTGCGCGCCCCGTCCGCCACGGCCCCGCCCGGCCCCGCCCAAATGCGCCCCACCTCATCCCCGCCGCAGCCTCGTAGAGCATCTGCAGCCGCGCGCCCCAGCCCAGCTGCTGCCGCGCCAGCGCCTGCAGACCGCCCACCGGGCGCACATACGCGAAAGGCGGCGCGTTTATACTTCAAAGCGGAGCCCGTTGCTCGAGGCACTTAAGACAGCCCTTGCCCCCACTCATCATCATCGACCAGCGCCGCGAATGCCATTCTACCACAGCTTTCAGCTGACTCGTCCTCAACCCGCCGCCGACCCTCAGGCCCTCCCCCGCGCGCGCAAGCCGCACCTCAAGCCGCCCCCCGCTCCCGCTCCCGCCGCGCACGCTGCCGCCGCCGCCGCCGCCGCCGCCGGACGCCTCCACCGCGCCGCGCGCGCGCCGCAGCAGGTCGTGCAGGGAGCCCTGGGGATAATACTCCATGATGCAGAGGGGCTTCTCCGAGTCCAGGCAGAGGCCGCAGAAGCGCGCCACGTTTGGGTGTGTCAGATTGCGCAGGTGCCACACCTCCTGCAGCAGCTTCTCCTGGGGGTTTTGGGGGTTGCGATGTGTGTGTGTGTGTGTGTGTGTGTGTGTGTGTGTGTGTGTGTGTGTGTGTGCGTGTTTGTGGGGGGGGGTATGGGAG